AATTGGAAGGAAACAGTTGGAAGATCGTAGTATGTTGTTATAATCTCTGTTTGAAGAGTGCTTTGGAATAGGCCCCGAATGTAAGGACTATTCAAATTACTGCTAAGCCCCTCACCAAGGCATAGAGGTTATTATAACAGACATAGGCTTCTGTCTTCACAGATGTGTGTGATTAAAAATAGAGGAGGATGCTGTATATGGAGGACTTGAGGAGTATAGGCAGACGATTGGATGGTGGCTGTGTGGCATGAGATAGCTATGGAAGCACTGTTACTAGAACCACAGGGGTATAAGGTGAAGTTTGAAATGCCCACGCTGCAGTATATAAAGGCATCTGCTAGTCCTGTCGAAAGGCTAACCCCAGAGCATTCTCCTGAGGTAAAAAGAAAAAGTTGAAGTAGAGTAGGAGGTGGGTAGACATGAGGAATGGGGGTAGAATTTGAGTTCTCGCTCTTCTGGCTGGGAAAATGCTTTACTATATACATAATCAACTTCGTACTACACTGGGGCTCGATTAGAGAGGGCCCATCTCATTCTGTTCCACTCCGTTTTGATCCTGTAGTCAGCTGCAGAGTTATAGATGAAGTGACAAGGATGGTATCTTGATTGTATCCAGCTGCCTAGAATAAGTCAAGGGCAGAGAGGCCCCACGTGAGGAGCAGCGCTCGCTAAAGGCTCGCTAAAAGCATCTGAAACTCAGGACACCTCTGAGGCTTTCAGAGCAGTGTGGTTTAGCATTCTGTGAACCAGTGTCACCAAACTAAGTCCCTCTGCAGAGGACCCTGATACGTGGCTTCAGCTAACAGGGAGAGAACTGAAATCTCAACAGCATTCGACCCTCAAACTGTGCCAATATTATTATTGCTGCAAATTGGAGCTTGAAAAGAAGAACCCCTTGGGAAAGCAATTTGAACTTCCTTTGCCCGAATTACAGAGCTGTGTTGATTCCAAGTAAATGTGGGGTTGGGGGGTGCAACTTGCATCTGGCAGAGGTGCCAACTGAATAGATGCTTCCCTCCCTCCCCCCACACTGCCCCTTTTCCCCCACCTTGCCCATCCCTGGTATTTAGTTAGTTACTCGGGCTTGGAGCCCTTCAGAAATCTCTTTAATTCCATTGAGGTGACTCAGTGAGGGTCGTACTGGTGTGACTTGAACAGGCAGGTGCTGGGTGCTGGGAAAAGGAAACTGGCGGTGCGTTTAATGGAGTCCGCCCAGGCCCACAAACCGAACAGGAGTTATGGCTCACAGACTATGTTGTTGCTCTGGGCTCTATAAAACTGTAATAGTATCATATTATTTTAATCTGCTGAAATGCAAACCCCAGAGTAGAAAACACAGCAGTAGCATTACACATCTGAGGAAATGTTCGACATGGGTTCATTTGTCTGCAGCTATTACGATGATGCCTGTGGCCGGTTAACTCTGTTGGTTACAACATGGTGTTAATGAGGCCAAGGTTATGGGTTGGAGAGGCCTGTGAGGTGAGCTGGTTTCACACAAAGGAAAGCTCTCTTCACAGCTCCAGACCACGCTCGAGACCCAGGTCAGACATCACATAAACGCTTGTAGATGATCATAAGGAGGACTGGGCAAGACCGTGTAATGACTCAGCAAATATCCCTCTACCCGCTTCTGGAAAAGCAATTTAAAACATGTGCTTTAGTGCTGGTGAATTATTGCTGTGATCTGCACACACAAAGGATATCACGTTATTATTAATGGTACCGGTTGATCAATACTGTTGCAGACATCCTTTCTGAATTAAGGGTATACTGCTCTGGCTGTGAAGAAGAGAGACAGGCTCTTTGGCCCCATGCTTTCTTTCTCAGCGTTCGCCTGCTGAGGTTCTGCCCGTCCACACATTCAGCACGTTAGTGGGGAGTGCGGGCGTGTGTCGGCCCTTTCTTTGTGCTTCAGACACCACAGTGAAGAAGGCAAACTCTCTGTCCTTCTGGAGTTTAAAGTCTGCGGGAGGAAAACAGATCATAAATAAGTAGACAGTAAATAACCAAAGCAATTACAAAAAATGAAAGTTCGGTGAAGGAAAGCATGGGGCAAGGGGGTGGGATGAAGATGGCTGGTTGCGAGATGGCCTTTACTTGGGTAAGAAGGTCTGAAGAGACCTCTCAGAGTAGGTACATTTAGGCAGAGACCTGACTGATGAGCAGGAGCCAGCCTTTCCGAGAGCTGGGAGGACATTCCAGCCAGAAGAAATCGCAGGTACAGAAGGCTATAGGTCTCGTCTCGTCTTGGTGAAAGCACAGAAAGGCCCCTGAAATCTGAGACGGCATGGTAAGAGAAGAGGCGGGCGAGCGGGAAGGCCCTGGAGAGCGTGCTGAAGAGTTGGGATGTGGTTCGTAGTCAGTAGGAAGCTGGTTTTTGTTTGTGTTGTGTTGGGGGTGGAACATTTCTTAAAGATTTGGTGGGGGGATATTATGGGTTGAAGTGTGTCCCCCTAAGGAAGATAAGTTGAAGTCCTAACTCTTAGTAATCTTATTTGGAAATAGGGTCTTTTCAGAGGTCATCAAGGTAAATTGAGGTCACTAGAGTAGGCCCCAATCCAGTTTGACTGGTACCCTTAGGAAAGGAGAAGTTTGGACACACAGAGGGAAGAAGGCCGTGTGAGGACAGAGGTTTGGAGTGGTGCATCTACAAGCCAAGGAATGCCAGAGAGGGACAGCCAACCACCAGGGGCCCAGAACAGTCAAAGAAAGACCCTTCCCCTAGAGGTCTCAGAGGGAGCAGGCCCTGCCAGCGCCTTGGTTTCAGACTTCTAAATTTCTGTTGTTTTAGGCCACCCAGTTTGTGTCAGTTCGTTACAGCAGTCCAAGCACACTAAAAAGGGAAGTGCTAGCACACTGGACCTGCCCTTGGGAAAGCAAGGACGCGCCCTCCCAGGCTCAGGGCCACTCGGGTGATGCGGAAGCCTCTGGGGGCTGTAGCATCTGACCCTGTGACTTACATACATGTGGGTAAATATGTAATAAAAAGAATATCAATGTTAAAAAAATTCTACACACACACACACACACACACACACACACACACGCTAGAGTCCATTAGTTGAATTATCCTGTACTGTATACCCTAATATTCTTTTAAGAATGGTCCTATTAGGGACACTCTTTAATAACAATGGTTTGGAAAAGCAAGAGTGGAAGCAAGGTAAGTTGGAAGCCTGTTCCAGTAGCCTAGATGAGAGATGATGGTGGTCTGAGCTAGAGAGAGTGGTAGTAGAAATGGCAACAGGTGTTCAGACATAGAGCCAGCAGGACTTTCAATGGACTGGATGTGGAGGCTGGGGTGGGGGGGGAAGAGGTGGGAAGGAAGGAATAAAGACTGACTCCTAGCTTTTGAACAACTGGTTAGGTGCTTTATTGAGAAGGAGAAGATTGAGACAATGGCTTCTCTGGTGATATGGAATCAAGAATTATGCTTTGGACATGTTAAGTTTGAGATGCCTAATTGTTTATTCAGTTGAAGGTATTAAGTAAGTAGTTGGTTATCTCAGGAACATTCAGGGCCAAACA